TCGCAAAAATAAAAGCAACACTTGATTACTGTAACCTAATAAGCCTTTAAAACAAAGCGAGAAACATAAATTAATAGGGTGGAAGCTAATCAACACCTGTGTTCTTGTACATAACTTTTACCTCCTGCTATTTGGTCAATGGCAGTCTGGCTTCCTTAATCCATGAACCCCAAAATTACCAAAATTACACCACTTATCACTGACAGAAACTCCGGCTTTCTGATGGTTCTTGAGTTAATCATGTGTAAAGTTGAGGAAATTACCCAAATCCAAGCATAAAATCATGACATTTCATAAAAAATCATTTTATTCTACATTTAAAAATTTGCACCAGGCTTCTCCTCAGTGCAACTCAGAGCAGACTGGAGCAAAGTATGGAATTAGAGTGACAATATAATATATCTGATTAATACAATAAACGCAGCATGGCTCAAACACAGTACACAGAGGAGCTCGTTGCTGGAAAATATATATATAGCATGGTAAAATATTTTTCTAGAGCTGATGTGCAGAGTAGTGTTGAAAATGCCTGCTTTGTTAAATATGTCATTTTTCCTCATGCTGGTATTGACATTTCATTGAAATCACTTTATTCTGCAAGTCTCATTTGCCAAAAATAAAGTGTTTTCTCCAAACAGATTCTGTAAAAAATAAAAAAAATAAAAAAAAACTTAACAAAAAAAAAATCTACACTCTCTGCTGCAACAGTGAAGCCATGAGTGACTCAACTACAATCAACAGTTGCATGACAGAAATGCTCAGACTTCTCAGCTGAACTGCAGGCTGTGCACACCACAAAGCAAACGTGGAAACAAATACAACATCTAAGCCAGGGGTGTCCAATCCTGGTCCTCGAGGGCCACAATCCTGCATGTTTTAGATGTTTCCTTCTTCCAACACACCTGATTCAAATGATCAGCTCATCATCAAGCTCTGCAGAAGCCTGATAACGATCCTGATCATTTGAATCAGGTGTGTTGGAAGAAAGAAACATCTAAAACATGCAGGACTACGGCCCTCGAGGACCAGGATTGGACACCCCTGATCTAAGCTGTACACGTTGATTGTTTTTTGAAAATAATTTTTGAAAATAATCAAAGAAACATATAGTCTTTCAGGGTTTTTATTTGTTTGTGTGTTTGTTTTATGACCGTACAACTGTGTCAAACTGCACAGACAACAATTTGGAGTTCTCTCTACTTCGAGCCGTGGTTGTTCTGTTTCCATAGAGGTACAAGGCCTTATAATTCAGTGAAAAATGAGCATTGACAACTGAGAATTAAAGGGAACCTCCACCAATTTTACACTTGAAGTTCAGTTTATTGGTCATTAGGATGACACTGTACATTATCACACATACACCATCCCCACTGTGAAGCACGGTGGTGGCAGCATCATGCCTCATGGTACGTGTCCACAGGATACGTCAATGTCTCGCCTCCCTTTCACTGTGTACGTGAAACGCCCCGCGTCCTGCTCTGGAGCATCGTGGGGCGTTTTGAGCGACGTGGTGTGCTCATTTGCATAAAGCAGACTTGACTTCTACTTTATGCAAATTTGGGGTGGGGAGCGGACGTTTGACGCCTCGCGTAACTTTCGTAAAACGGCTAAACTAGCCGTTGTTGAACCAAAATGAGGACAGATTCAGCAACTGCATTTTTTCTCCCCTCAAATGTTTTCATAAAATATTTTTCGCTGAACGGGCCGAGCCGTCATGTTGGCTAGCTGCTTCTACAGGACTGGCGTTTGGTGAATGGACAAGCAGCTGTCATGTGACCACCTAGTTGCCCTCTAGTGCATGCCCATCAAGAGGGTAATATTCAGAAGCGACACATTACCATGTGGGTAAAATCGCCCCTGTGGACACGTAGCTTCAGCTGAACAAAACAGGTGTATAATGTCTTTGGCGGTTTTGCACTTTAAAGTCCTGGTGATGTTGGGGTTTCCCCTAGTTTAGGCTTAAAGAGCAACCCTTTGAAGTTTGGTTGTATGAAACACCCATTCATTGACAGTGTATTACCTCCAGTAGCTCATCGTTGGCAGCTCCCAAATTAGAAGAAGCAGAGATGACTGCTGGCAGGGAAATGAGGTCAGCAGCAAAACAGATTTTAGCCACCTAAAAAGAGGTCCACCTCACAAAATCTGTTTAACTGCATGTTATAATTAGAATATTGTTTGCTTTCCTTTGCCGTCAGACATTCCTTTCCTTTTGGTGCTACATTTTTTACAACTATGGAGCTTCTGTATTCCTACAAATAAGAACACCCATGCTTGGAACCAGCACAGCTGATCTGCAGCGTAATACGGTGTGCGGCGTAGGAATATGGACGTTCTGCAATTGAGAGAGTTGTAGTGCCAAAGGAAAGTCTGACAGCTCAGTAAAGAGGGTGAGAATATTCTAAATATTCCGTACGCTTACATTTTTTTTTAGGAGGGCCTTTTATTTTAGCTGGCTAAAATACATTTTGCTGCTGACACCGTTCACACTGCTCAGCTTCCCTGCCAACAGTCCGCTCTGCTTCTTTAAACTGAGGAGTTGCCAACCACGATCTACACACACTGACTGTGGATAAGTTCCTCATACAAGCTCACTTCAAACAAAGTCTAATATCCCTTTCAAGACCGCATGTTTATCCTGAACCACAAACATGGAACATGGTGTGAAGGAGGATGTCATAATTTCAACAAAAGCCAAGTTTCATTATGAGTAAAGTTGGATCCAGCGTCGTTGGAGTTGAAGTGTTGATTGCTGGATTGGTTTTTTCATTCAGTGTTTCCATTATTTTGTCGTCATATTATACAGTGGTGGAAGAAGTGCCCAATAAGTACAGGAACAGTAAAAGTAACAGGAGACAAAAATACTCCATCAATATGTACGAAGAGGTTTCAGCCACAGACTAATATATGTGTTTCTCAAAAATTGTTTTCCTGGCTGCACTATAAATACATAACTTTTTTTTTTTTTATTTTTTTTTAGCAATTTTTAATTAGAATTTTATCAACAATTTATTGTTATTTTACAGATTTGTGCTGTTTTGTTATATACAGGTCAGATCTAGTAAAATGACAGAAAACAGTATTTACAAAACAAACAGACAAATTAACTCTTTTACAATGTCTTAGTGTAAAAGTACACATGTATTCACTGTATTTAAACCAGCAAAAATATCACTACCTTTAGAGACTTATTGTTATTTTTACAATTTTGACAATTTTTGAACGGTATTGTATTCCACTGTTCATTATAGTATTTTTTTGGTACCCTTTATGCCAGATTTTTTGCTTTATTGCTGGATTATTTTATTTTATTTACTTTTTTTACAGTGTCTTCATAGTATTTTTAAAAATGTATTTATGAAATGATAAAAATAAAATCTAAAATCCACTCTGTCAAAACCTTTGACTCTAATGTCAACAAAATGAAACAAAAATCACTAAATATTTGTGCAAATTAGGGCATTTATATATCTGTATACATAAATATTCAAACAGTAAATTTCAGATCACTTGAGACACAACAGTTAATTGTCTTATAGTAAGTAGCTGCACTGTGATGTCTGTCATTAACCTTCAACCTTAATGACCAGTCCGTTTTTCTGTTGACTTGGATACACTCTCCTTTTGCAGCTGACGGGTTAATAAAAGCTTGGAACTGTTTCCCCCTTAAATAAAAGCAGGTAACCCAGGAGCTTAACTTTAAAAAAAGACCACTTAGTCCGAGCAGACCTTGTGTAATTTAAAGCCCCTGAACGATGAACTGGTGGAGGCGGGGTGACGGGTCGGGGTGAGGACTCGGCTCGCAGCCATCGTCCTCGTGCTCTTCCTGAGGCGGGCGGCGCTGGGTCACGGGCAGATTTCAGCCCACGTCAGCTCAGAGCGGAGCGGCTCTGAAAGCTCTGGGAATGGGAGATGGAAGTAATAAGTGAGGGCACTAACAGCCCCAAACTCACTCTCTCTGGCAGTCCAGAAACACCATCTTCTCTACCCCACCCCACCCCCCAACGACTCTTTGCTTGTCTTTGCCTCTGGCTGTCTGTCACAACTTTCTTTCCCCCTGCTGCCTCCGAATATCACACCTGACCATTCTGGCACTCTCTCCTTTCAAAAACACATTACACATTAAAAAAGTTTCCCCTTTTCCTCCTGTCTCTGCTTGTCACATGTGCACTCTCAGTCAGCCTTCCTGACTGTCTTCCCCCTCCATCGCCGCCGCCGCCGCCACCGCCACCGTCACCACCACCACCACCACCACCTCCGTCTATCCGTCCATCTGTCCGGCTGCTCAGACACATCACTCAGACTGTGTTGTGTGTCTAGAGGGAGTCCAGGTTTTCAGACACTCTCTCCAACCTCGGCTCCTTGACCATTACTACTCCATTATCAGCGGCGATGGAGGGCGTGCCGCAGACGCCTAATGTATCCATTTCCCCCTCCATTTAGGACTCGGCAGCCCAGCGAGCTCCCGGAGTGCTCCCTGATTGGGATTGAATGTCCATTTAAACTGCTGTCCAGCCACCAGGGAGGAGGTCGGCGGAGGAGGAAGAGGAGGAGAGGAATAATGGGAAATACAGGGAAAAAAGGGGGAAGTGTATAAGAGCAAAAGAGCGAGTTGAATGAGGGAAAAGGAGGCGAGGGGATTGCTCCCCAGCCTCTGATTCTTCCTCTGCTGTGTCTCTATCACTTCTTTTTTCTTTTCTTTTTTTAACAAACTTTCAAATACGCCTCCGTAGGAAAAAAAAAAAAAAAAGAAGAAGAATTCCTCCTTTTGGAGCCGAGCCAAGTGTCAGAACTCAGCACTCGGTATTCTCAAGGTGCGCTTCTAAAAAGAGGGATTTGGAATTGAGATGATTGGAGTTGGCACATCCGTAGAGGGTGGAAGGAGAGAGAGAGGAGGTGGGGAGGAGGAAGAGGAGACAGACAGAAAAGACAGAAAGAAAGAAAGAAAGAAAGAAAGACAGAGGCGGGAGATCAGACAAGACTTTTCAGAGGTGAAACGGTACCTTGTAGGAGAACTCCTCCGTTCTTTCTGAAGAGGGGACTCCCCGACCACAATGGAGGACTAGAAAGAAAAGAAGAAGAAGGAGGGACGTGGGGGAGAGGAGAGGAGAGAAAACTGGTCAATCATTTGATCATGTTGCAGCCGCCAACCAGCCCAGCCGGCTTCATCATGAGGCAGATAGCAAAGGCAGGAATTTGAGCCCATAAGCCAGCGCTTCTGATTATAGTGATTAGATTCCCGGGTGTCCCACTGTTGCCATTATTCCCTGTGATTACCTCGGAGAATTACAGCCTCGACGCTGTAGTCCATGGGGGTAATTTCTCATGACAACCCCCCACCGCCCGCCACTGGTCCATTCACACACATTCAACAAGAAAAAAAAAATAAAAAATCAACACACACGTACATTTAACGCCGCTTATGTACATACAGTGTGGCACATTGAAAACACAAGAGCACACACACTCGGAGGAAGCACACAAAGCCGGGGACTCACTTTAGGTGATCATTGCACCACTAATGAGGGAGGTAATGACGGCATTTCTCACATAGACGGAGATATCTTCACTCACACTTTCACACGCAAGACAATAGATACAGTTCTGCTGGTGGAGCCATAATTTTAGAGGGGGAAAGAAGATGGAGCGATAGAGGGGAAAGAGGCTGTAAGAGCTTTTCCAGGTTGAGTGGTCTTTAGCTCCCCATTAGACGGCACGTCTGACTGCTCCTTTGCTTCTTCTTTCTTTTTTTTTTCAACCCCCCTCTCTCCTTTATAGCCAGACAGGCTGTTCTCAAACAACACAGGTCTCGGTCATGTGTACACAAACAGGACAGAAAACACCTGGGGGACTCGCCGCTTTTGAGTT